TGGCGGGCGCCTGTAGTCCCAGGTTCTCGGCGGCTACGGCACTCTACCCAGGGTGACCAAGAGTTGAGAGGGCTCGGCGCCTGTGGTTCAGAGGCTCGGGCGACGGCCACATACACCGGGGATGGCAGGTTCGAACCCGGCCCGGCCAGCTAAACAACAATGACAGTTACAACAACAAAATAGTCGGCCGTTGCCGGAGGCGCCAGTATTCCCAGCTACTTGGGAGGATGAAGCAGGAGAATAGCTTAAGCCCAAGAGTTTGAGGTTGCTGTGAGCTGCGACCCCACGGCAACCGAGGGCGACTTAGTGAGACTCTGTATCAACAACAAAAAAAAAGTTGAGAGTCTAAGGTACACAGCTATGATTTAATTTAAAAAAAAAAATTGAGGCTCAGCACCTGTGGCTCAAGCAGCTAAGGCGCCAGCTACATACACCTGAGCTGGCCGGTTCGAATCCAGTCCGGGCCCACCAAACAATGATGGCTGCAACCAAAAGAAAAAGAAATAGCTTGGCGTTGTGGCCAGTGCCTGTAGTTCCAGCTACTTGGGAGGTGGTGGCAGGAGAATCGCTTGACCCCAGGAGAGGTTGCTGTGAGCTATGATGCTATGGCACTCTACCCAGGGCAACAGCTTGAGGCTCTGTCTCAAAAAAAAAAAAAGTTGAGAGTCAGGTGGTCCCTGTGGCTCAGTGGGTAGGGCACCAGCCCATATACCAAGGGTGGTGGGTTCAAACCCAGCCCTGGCCAAACTGCAACGAAAAATGCCCAGGCATAGTGGAGGGTGTCTATAGTTCCAACTACTCCGGAGGGTGAGGCAGAAGAATCACCTAAGCCCAGGAGTTAGAAGTTGCTGTGAGCTGTGATGCTACAGAACTCTACAGAGAAAGTGAGATTCTGTCTCTTAAAAAAAAATAAATTTGAGGGTTTCACTTTGTTGTCCTTGGTGGAGCACTATGACATCATTGCTCACAGCAACCTCCAACTCTCCAGCAATTGCTCCAGCAATTGTCTTGCCTCAGCCTCCAGAGTAGCTGGGACTACAGGCACCTGCCACAACGCCTCGGCTTTCAGTTTTTCAACTTTTGAGTAACTTCTGGGAACACTTACACAGATACATATTTGTACTACTGTGCCTTGTGGAAGAAATATCTAGGTGTGAAACTGCTGGATAACAGATATAAAAACTGAACATTGTAACGGGTACTTCAAAGCATCCCAACTTATTCCTCTTGCAGCAATGTGCACAAGTGCCCTTTTTCTCCATCCCC